CAGAGCTGAGATTTTTTTTCAAATGGGAAGGTATCATTTTGAATACGGAATTATATTCTACGACTTTTTTTAAAGAAGAACTTACTTCGAGCACTATCTTGTAGAATTGTCATTTAAGAATTATTAAGTAAATTTTCTAAAATTTGAATACGGAATTAATCTACGACTTTTTTAAAGAAGATTTTACTTCGGGCATTTTTATTTTAGAGTTTGTCGTTTCAGAGTTATTAAGGTTTTAAAAAAATAAAACGTTCAAATTTCGTTTATTTCAATCGCTATTCATTTATCTCCAATAAATTTAAGTAAATTAATAATTAATAATTGAATTAACCTACTAGTAGTAACTTCATTAAGTTAATCCTAGTAATGTAATTTTCCAAATGGGCACTGATCTCCATGCAAAGCAAAATCCTATTATAGAATTCATTTTGCACTTCACGGAACGTACTGGTGTTCTAATACAGAGATACTACATCCAAAATACTGGAAGTGTAAGTAATCTCCCCCAATAGTTTGCGCCTAAAGCTCATAAATTCAATACCAAAAGTTTTACTTTACTTTACGTTTAGCTTTACAGCTTCGTTTTATTACCTCTTGTATCCAAGAACTTTCGGGTTTATCATCCAGTTGCTCTTGGCTGGCCCATCTGGCAGACTCACTAGCCTTATAACTTGTGTTTTGCAATTAAAACTCCATACTGGGCAGGCATACAATAGCATTAGCTTTACAATCGCATTGTAAATAAATCTCTTGCTACAGCAGGACATTCCAGATTCTCCTGAGAGTAGCGAGAAGAGTAGTCTAATAGCTAATTTTGGTTTATTAATCATTTTTACTATTTGAGGCGAAAATTTAGTTTTATGTCATAGTTAAGCCTAGGTATGTGCCTTTCGGGACCATGGAATAAAGATTCCATTTATGGTATGTTAAGGATACTAGGAAGCAGGGTTTGCACTCCCCAGGCACTGCAGCCTTCTGGCTTATTGTACCTTTCTGGTTACTTAGTTCAGTGCAATAGACTCAATCCTTCTCCTTAGAAGTATCAGGTCATGGACTGTCGCTGCTACAATTTCATTACCTAAGTTTTTTCGTATATTAAGTAGAATTTCCGTTGAGCTGATACTTCACATTCGAAGATGATATGGGTGGCTGTTTCCTCCTCCTCATTACATAATTTGGAGATGGGATCTTCGTTGTATCTGCCCATATTGTGTAGATGTTTTCTCAGATGCCAGTGACTGGTTAGTAATCCTATCAGCAGCAGTGATTTTGCCAGTCTTGGTGAGGGTTGTTTCATCATAAGTTTACTATGTCTAGCACCGCAAGAGTTTATCCACTTTTCCTTTTGTTTTGTTTGGATCTGCGATGGAGGATTCTATATTTGTTTTTGTTATCCCAAGTATAGGTTCGGGGCCTATGGGTGGTCTTGCGGATCCTCCTCTGGCCAGTCTATCTGCTTTCTCGTTATCCAACATTCCTCTGTGTTTTGGTACCCAAGATATCATCAGGTTGTTGTGTTCCCCCAGATTTTGGAGATTTTGGATGCATTCACTGGCTAATTTTGATGTAATTCTTTTACATGCTAATGCTTTAATGGCTGATTGGCTATTAGATCTTATGAGGATTTTTTTTATCAGTGTAACCTCTTTTAAGATTTTTCAGGGCCCAAGCATTGATAGCATGTATTTCTGCTTGAAAGACCGAAGTGTACCCTAATGAGTTTGATAGTTCATGTTTTGGGCTTACACAGGAATTGCCCGATCCGTTTCCTTCGTTTGTTTTCCAGCCATCGGTTATACCATATCATTGTGTATGATTCCATTTATGGTAATTGCCTCTTTTAATTTGGGCTTATCATAAATTATTTATTAATGGTAAAGAGATGGACATATTTTACAACTGGAGTAAGAAGATAATACTGCATAAATGAAATTTTTGTTTAGCATTTTAACTAGCTAATTATTTTCGATTCGGCATAAGATATTAATTATAAATGTAATTTATTGTTTTCATCAAAGGGCGGAAAGATTCGTACGGATCTTGTACGAATAATTTACACCACACAGATTGAACAGTAATTACAATTATTATTAAACATATGTCGTTTTTATGGCCGGGGTAATACTAGAAATAGAAGGGCTATTAGCTGGCGGCTCGGGTGTTTCAGCAGATGAAACGGCGGACAAAAGAAACTAATATAAATCCCCAGTCGATGGCCTATTTGTCTCCGACAACTGACGCCCAATCACTTACGAAATAATAACAGATTCCTGCCGCATCAGCCTGCTATTAGGCCACCCCTCGGAATCGCTAACTGCCCCCGACCCCGCTCATCCGCAGTTATTGGATTCAAAGAACCGTTTCACGGTTTAGCCCCATTTAGATTGTTAAAAATAAAGCTTTTGATACGGTTTTCTCATTGGCGGGATTAAACGAAAAAAAGATCGTTAAAACATTACCAGAGTTGGAAAACAGCCGAGGCAATACATTCGCCTTGCTTTGTTTCTAGAGTTTATATCTGGAGTTGAAAAGTAGGATGTTTTATCACAAGAAAAAAGAAGAAGAAGGAGCAGGTGGCCAGCAATTTCTCATTGGTTCTCCTAACTGTTCTTTTACAACTAAGCTAATAGCCCTTCTTTAAAACTCTCCTCTTTAATTCTTTATTGCTCTTGCCCAAACTGAAAATCGAAGCTTCTTTACTTACGACATCTTTAAATAAACTATAAAAGTATAAGTTGTAGAACCGACTTCGTATATCAACATTTACTATTTTCTTTAACTATATGAAATTACATGATTAACTATTTCAATTTTAACTATTTAAAAGAGCATCATATCAGTCACAATCAGAGAGATGATTAATGAGTATAATGTCATCTAATCAGAATGGTAAGGTTATAACAATGAAGTTTGATATTATATATAGTAAGGAAAGGTTAGATGCAAACGCCAAGCAAGACATCGGGGACAACGAAAAAATTACTTTCGTTTGTTTATCAGGGAAACCTGGGCAGAGGGGCTACTAGCAGGCCGATAAATTGGCCGAGTAAAATTTAATGATACTACCTTTCTTTTAAAAATCAAATTACCAAAAACCCATTATATTTCGTGGTCCGATTGACCAAAAAACTTCTTTCAATTAATTAATCTTTATGTAAGGTATTGGTTGAAATGAAAAAGTTAGTGTCACGAGCGGGATTCGAATTGAAAAATGGCAAAAAGGAGGGAAAATTCGAAAGGAAGGTTGAGAAGGGAAGTTGGTATCCGAGTGGATCGAAGTCACGATAGCTCTGGTGCTTAGAGCAGCATTATTTATCCGAAGGTCGTGGGTTCGAATCCCGTTCGTGACACTAACTTTTTCATTTCAACCAATACCTTACATAAAGATAAATTAATATAAATAACATGAATGTGGGGTGAGAACGTCCTGCTGTACTTTTTACAGATGAGTGTAGATTTGCTCTACAATATCCTGATGGGCGTAAAAGAGTGTGGAAAAGGCGAAATGAAATATACGAACATAAAGAACAATTAATTGAAAGAAATTACTCAAAACGTAGATACATTAGGCAATGTGTTAAAAATGAGTCCTTCGTTCAATAGAATTGTAATTAGAACGCAGTAGGTGTGGGATGGTTAGATGGGTATAGAATATGGGATGATCAACCCATATTAGTGTTTATATACCACCTTGTAAATGTATATTTGATATATTTTATGGCCTTGGATTTATTCATTAACGTAGGTCACAAGGAAGCTTCGAACCTCCGCTCGTATTTACTACCCTAGTGGTTCTGGGTTCAAATCCCAGGATAGCCCTTAGATTTATTAGAATTATTTATTTGTGATTAATTTAGAAAATGTACAATAAAATGTTCTGATCCTTCATGGGTAGTTTTACATTAGTCCTCGTATCTAACATGAATTTATTTACATTACTTACTTTTTTATTGTACATTATGATGATTAGGGTAATAGTTATGGTAAAAAAGCACAGGATCAAACTGCAAGAAACTGGCAGTTGTAGGTGTATTTAGAAGGAAATAGTGGATTAGGGACCGTTTTAGGTAGGGTACAGAAATTTACTATCCCGAACGAATAGGGTTCATTACTACTCAATCGCAGGAACGAAAAACTTGTTCAACCTTATTTGCTAGTTTAGAAAAAGGTAGATATAGTCTGATGTAATATAGCATGATACTCAGCAAGCACTCGACCTAACTACACAAGAGACTAATAGTCGTGGAATAGTTTTAGGTGGCGGTAGTCACGAATTTAGGACGTCTGACTCGAATTGGCCACGCTAGTGGTTCTGTGTTCAAATTCGAACATAACTCTTGGAATTTTTTTCGTGATTTGGAAAAAGCACTGTAAAGCGGTAGTTGGCCGTTACGCTCTCTTATATGACAAAAATTACTTCACTTTTACTTGTTTTAAGAGTCGTAGGCAGACGTGTAGTGAGTGAATGAGGGTTAGGTGGACATGGTAGAACCTACGGTGAAAAATAATTTTCATCTTTTAAATATCTTAGTAATATATGCCATAATTAGGAATGGTTATGGTAAAAATCTCAGGAAAGGAATAATTCGATGATTGATTAGCAAATGGCTAATACTGGTAGGTATATCTAGAATAAAAAGGAGGGGAAGTTGGGTATGGTACGTAGAATATCCATCTATATCAAAAAAATTCATTTTTATATAACCTCGAAGATGATAAACTTGATTGAACTAAAAATAACCATCCTATTATGGTGTTGTTTACATAAAAATTAATTTTCAATCTTTTATGCTCCGATTCAGCGGGGGGAGCTTGTGAGTCTTCACCAAGACTAACACAGCTTGTACATAAAATTAAATCATTTATGCTGATGTTGATGAAAAACTAAAGAGAAAAGTTTTAAGCTTTTGGAGGTATTGATTAATTCCCTGGAATTTAAATAGTAAAACATCGAACATTAATTTGAAAATTCATCTTAATACACACAGAAATTTATTTACCTGAGAGTCTTTGAGACCGAGTTTCTCCGCCAGCTTCTTCCTGTCCGGCTTGGAGATGTATTTCTGTATCTGGAACCTCTTTTCCAGTCCTTTCCTCTGGAGGTCGGAGAAGACGGCCCTCCTCATCATTCCTCGTCTAGGTTTGCCCCTCTGGCTCTGTGCCCAGGGGAAAGTGCCAGGAAGTGGGAAGACGGTCGTCGCCGTGAGACCTCCATGCCCGCTACCTGCACCACACATCTCTTGCACCAGTTCGGCTATGGATCGGCGGAAAGTAATGTATGAAGAGGTTATATTGTAAACCAAGCATCTTGAGGATACAGTCTTATAATTTTTTGGTAAGTCTGGACAAATTTATGGGGTTTCTGTACAAAAGATTCCTCCGGATTCAAAAATATTAAAAAAAGATTTATGACTTTAACTTAGAAGTTTTCCAAATATGGAATATAAACAGTGTTTTAAAAATTATAAAAATAGATTATTTTTGTTAATTTATGTATGATAAATTTACGCTTCACTTAGAGGTTAAATGTTTTTAAAATTGTAACGAATTTGTAACAATTTTAAGGTACAAGCATGCTAGTTTAAACGCACCCTTTAGAATTTAAGGCGACTCTCAAATGTTTATTCTTCGTGTAAACGACGGGATTAAGTGGCTTTTCTATATAAACCATGTGTTTTAAAAGCGTTTAAAAGGCCGCGTCGTTTGCCGCTGACATCAATCAATTATTAGGGGAGTTAATCACAGTCTGGGGACTATTATGGTTAGATTACCATATTCAATGGCTCACTGATAAAGCACATTATTGGATCTCTCTTCCCTAATTTGCGGTCGGCTGGCAAGTCGGGACGAACGGTTATTCCAAATCAATTAAATCTCTCTGGTGGAAACAATTTCTGTCCTGAGGCACAAATTGCTTTCGGGGGAATGGAAATCAATTTAATTGTCGACAAGTGGGGGTGGGAAATTGGACAAATTGAAAACTCTAACATGGTGTTCTATTTTAGTTTCAGATCGGTGACATTTTAACACGGAAGTTAGTCAAAAACTAGTTTGAACGTGGAGTTTGGAATTGAATTGAGATGCTCGAAAAATGTTTGACCAGTGTTTATTCTCTCTCACCTGTAATGTAAGGTTGCCGGCAGGCGAGGAGGCTGTGGTGAATATGGGCGGAAGTGAAACCAGGGCTAGGCCTCGGGATAGGTTTCGCTATGTACCCATTAAATCCCAAATAGTGACCACTGCTTAAGAGACTACCTGAAAACAAAAGAAATTATACAAAAATCAAAACATTTATATTGTAATTATCAAAATATTTAGCCACAAAAAGTTTGGCCATCAGTACACCTAAAAGGTTCTACATACTCGGATTTGTAAAAAAGTAAAGTAATTCCTGTCATACAGGGGGCTTATCGTCCAACTACCCATTGGGTGTCGCGGGCGAGGGGTCAAACCGCTTTACAATGAATAGACAAAAACAATATTTGGAACAAGAATTAAATATATTTATTCCTGAAAGCCGAGATTGTAATATTATTTAGGAATAAAAAGATAGATAAATAAATAGCTAAATAAATAAAGGGGGAGGAAGGGAGAGAGAAAAAAGAGCGAAGAAAAGATAGATATTAGAGACCTGTTTTGACCCATTATAACCTTCATTGTAAGGCAATAACTATGAAGAGAATAAAGGGAGAAGAGTGGAACAAGAAAAAGAGAGAGAGGGAGAGAGAGAGTTTTATCCTGCCTTGACCACTTTGTGATCATTTATGACCTTATTATAGAGGTTAGAGGATAGAGAATAAAGGGGGAAGAGAGGAAAACGAGACAAGAGGAAGAGAGAGGGCGAGAGAGAGAGAGAGAGAAGAGAGAGGGGGATGAGAGTTANTATATATATATGCTTATTTATCCATTGCACATTTTGTTTATACTCTTTATTTAGTTAATACTTGTACACACTGTTAGGTGGATTTATGAAGTTAGGTAAAGACAAACATAACGAGAAAGAGTAACTGTGAAAACAAAGAGAGTGCGAATGATGCGATTAAAGCATATTAGACAAATTAGTTGGTAAATATTTTTTGGGAGTTTTCAATGGGGCAATTGTTAATTTTTTGACGAAAGTGATTGTCGTTTATCATAAATACAACTTTTCCGAAGGGATCGAAGTCGCCGGGAGAATGGTGAGAGACTACAACGCCAACGTAGTGATGTTCCTCCAAATCCGACTAAACCCATATTTAGTTAACCACATAAATTGATTAATTAGTAAATTAACATTTAAAAACCTGTAATTATTATTAAAAAATTATAAAAGTTTGTTTTTGTACAACAGTTTTTTTTTTTTTAAAGAAACGCAATAATTATTATCACTGAAGTGGTTTAAACACTACTGTTAATTTTGAAATGTTTTATTAATTTAGGCAAAGTTTAATTTTTTGTTTGCCAACCCACATTTAGTTGTCTATTACCTGTTAACTTTAATACCGCCTATTATTAGAACAAAAGTACATTCTCGGACGCCTCGGCTGTGTATTTCTACCATAACGATTTCAACGCAAGCTTGAGCCAAGCTTGCAATTAAATTTATAAACAGAATTGAAAATAAATTACAATTAAAATTAATGGAATTTCAAAGTGTTAGCAATATTAAGTAATAATTGAAATGCAATAGAAATTTTAATTAAAACCAACAGCAAGTCATAATAAATACAATATTAATATAATAGGTACGGTTTTAAATTAACCACAAACAATTCTACCGGTCAACAACTAATTTTATGTAAATTAATTATTTTAATAGAAGAATTAATTATTGTCTAGGAAGTCAAGAATAGAAAACTGCGGGAACTTACAAAAATGAGGGAGAGAGAGAGAGAGAGAGAGAGAGAGAGAGAGAGAGAGAGAGAGAGAGAATGTGTGTGGGAGAGTGAGTCAACATCTCGTCACCCACGTGTTTTTAACCCTGCCGTGCATAATCTGGCAACGGTTTTATAGATGCAAATTTATTTTTAGAGCAAACAACCATATAGACAAGTTATACAAACATGAAATGAAACATAAAACTAACGAAATGGACGGAAAATAAACATACTCAAAAACTTAGAAATTTACAAGCATAACCTTAAAATCCCTAACCATCCCTAAGTTGAACTCTACACACATATACAAATTATATAATTAAAAAATTCAATTAATTATTACTTTTATATATGGTCTTGGTACGAACCAACGACCTTTGGCTAAGCCGCAGCTCTAACTACTTGAGCTATCGTGACTTCGATCCACTCGGACACTAACTTCCCATCTCAACCTACAACCTTTCGAATTTTCTCTCTTAATGCCATTTTTCAATTGGGTTCGAATCACTAACTTTTTCATCTGATGACCTTGGTATATAGTCAATTATGACGCTAAACATAAGTTGATACAAGTTTTTTGATTGTGTAATTTCAAAAAGAATTTTTATTGCCCATTAAGAACTATTGCAATTTGTTCTGTATTCTCTCAATTTATAAATTTGATTATTTTAAACTGTTGTAACGTTATATTTCTTTCAATTGTTGCGTTGTATGCAGCATGACATTTGATAATGGGTATTCTGGGCTTTTCTGTGCTTCTTGCAGAATCTAAATACCGTAACATCTCAAATGCCATCTGAGTACGCAGTACCAAGTCAAACATCCGGCTCTTGTCATAACTTTCTTCAGGTTCAACTGATTGACTTCGGTTTTGCAATATATCGTAGAACTATCTTCGATCTGACGTTATTCGAGTTGTGTTAGCTCTTTGGCCATTTGTCTTGACAGCTTTTCTTTACTTTTGTATCCTACGTGTCTTGGAAGGTCCTTATTCATAACTTGCCCCTGTTAATTTATTAAAATACTGAGTCGTTTCTTGCTTTTGCCTTCTGTAATATTTCAAATATCGCAATAAGAATTTTGGATTGGTCGGGTTCGGAGAGTGTTGCCTTTGTTTCTTTACGAAGATGTACGTCGTAATATGGATCCATATCAGGAAAAGTGTTCGGCTTCAGTTCTTGCAATGGCTTCTTCGTTCATGTCCTGCACGTCTTAAAACTAACTGACGTGACTGTTTTGCACATCAAACCTATTTAGTTCTGCCTTGGAATTCAGAAGCACTTCGAGCTTATAATATGCAGTTTAGTTCTCGGATGACTGCTTGGCTATCTGACATGACAGCTATTTCTTTATTTTTGCATTGAAGTAAATGCAGTAAAATAGCTTCAGCAAACAAGGAATTTTTGTCGTGAATTGAACACATCACGAAGTAACATGGATTTTCAGGCCAACAAAATATATTAGTAGTTCTGAGTAATTGATTTCGGTACAAAATACAACTGCCCATGTACCTTCTTAGGTACTAGGTCCATAACTGGCCCCACTATTGAAATACTTAGTCGTTTCATGCTTCCGCATTCTGTAATATATTTCAATTAATTAATCTTTATGTAAGGTATTGGTTGAAATGGAAAAGTTAGTGCCAGGAGCGGGATTCGACCCCCGACCTTCGGTTAAATACGCCGCTGCTCTAACCACTTGAGCTATCGTGACTTTGATCCACTCGGACACCAACTTCCCACTTCAACCTACCTTTCGAATTTTCCCTCCTTTTCTCTAATATATTTCTTTTCAAATATCGCCAGGAGATTCTCGGATTGTTTGTGTGCAGGGAGTAATTCGTATTTTTTCCTCACGATGTTCTTTGAGGGTATGGACACATACACAGTATTATTTTTCAGTTAAGGTTTTTTCTTGCAAGGTTCAAATCTATGTGTAATGTGTCTATGTGTGGTGATTAGTGACCGTTAATCGATAATTATTCAGAAATCGTGAGATGCGGTCTGGTGTGATGTAGGTTTCAGAAAAACATTTTCTTTATGGAGCCAACGTTTCGATCTTTATTGAGATCATCTTCAGGGCCTGGGATTTATAAACATTGTTTACATTTAACAAATACATTTAGGATGTGGAAAAGTGAATTTATACAATGCAAAAAAATATATATATATATTTTTTTTATTCAAGCAAAGTATTTCTACTCACTCAAAGTGTTTGTCTTCTGTGTGATTGTGCCATTCTTGCGTATCGTGTTGAGAGTGCCAGTGAGATTTTGCTGTTATATGTTTATATACGTTGGATTTTGAAGGAGTGGGGAAGGAAGTCGGTATAGAAAAGACATTTTTGTATAATGCGTCGGCTTCTTTGAGGTTCTTTCTATGTATAATACTTACTCCCGCCCTACATTCAGCACTTACTTCAGTTAACCTGATAAAATTCTGAGTAGTCTCTCGCGTTTTTTATTCAGTATCCAGCGAGGGAATCCCATTGTTTCAACATGAAAATATTCTATGTTAAAATGGAACTCTTTCTAACATAAGGGTTAGGTGCGTAGCGGTATGGCAGCGTTTTTTCTTGCAAAGGCTTCTTTGTACCCATTTCCTTTATTTCTGGCACCCAAAGTTTTTTTTTTTAATTCTCCGTTCAATTTGAATTATGCACATCCCTTAAGTTTACGACTTTGGCTTGAAAAAAATTAAATTAGAAATTGCACATAACAATCATTTTTTCAATATTAGACCCAATCTATAAGAAAATGAGGGGGGATTTATTCTCTTCTGTGGATGTTTACGAATTTTATAGACAAGATGGACCCATTTGTAATTGGGTTGATGTGAATGCGTGTATTTTTGTACTAGTTTTGTATAAGGTTTCACTCTGTTAAACGCATTTAAAAAAAATAAATTGTTTTCGAAGCTTGAAATAATAATCAACAAGGCAGGTAAAAATTAGAAAATAGATCTGTTCCGCAATAGACCACACACAGGGAGGGGAAACAGCTTGAACAAACATCGTTCTTCCAATTCGTAAAGCGTTCGCACAATGGATGTAAAAGAGGGAGGAGTTGTTATCCCAACGAATCAGCCGATGACCGTGTGGGTAGCGAATAGATCTGGCAAACTGAAATAACAATCGCTTCCCGGGCATCATTGTCATCGCCTATTGTGACCGGGATAGCCTGGCTACTAACAGAATTGTAATTTCCTTTGTTGCCCGATTTAAGTCCCGAGGGGGTGATTTGACTAATGGGTTTCGAATAACTGATTTATCAGGGCCGTAACGAGCGAATTTTCTTTGTGAAATGGTAGATTTGCGTTTAGGCCGATGCCATTAGCAGGAGCAGAATAAAATAAAGTAATAAAAAACCCCAAAGGGACTGCTTTCTAAACGAGACAGAAT